TTTCTTCCTCGCATATCCACTGTCCTGCATCCAATGATATTTTCCATATCTTTTCCTTCTTCAGCAGATTGTCTGCAATCAGCGTCTGCTGTAATACCATCATCCCCCGGCCCCTCTTAAATTTCCTGCTTACTGGGCTTTTACTTTAACTGCATTACATACATCTTCCATTCCCGTTCATCTGGTTCCTTTCAGCATAAACCAGGCTGAAAGATCTGACTCAAAGTACTTTGATGGACTGGTCATTTGATGGCAAATTTAAGAAAAAAAAATTAAACAACGCTGTCATTTTATACGCCTGTTAGTAGAATGGCTGTGATTCTGACTGATAACGAATATTATTTTTATTTCAAGTCTTTCAGAGTGAAAATATGTGCCAGGGTGTATTGATCTGTATCTTAGTTGTTGGTGTAGCGTGATAGGCCAAAGGAGAGAAAAGACAATGAGATGGTCATCCTGGTTGATGGAGCGGAGATAGAAGAAAATGGAGTCATGATCAGTGGCATTAAGACATACATTCACATCATTTGCAGCACTCTGCATTTATCCTTTCATAATTAGTAAAAAATCATTGTCTGTAGCACTTTTTTCTGCCTAGTTTTATATTCCATTTTACAGGTGAATAATGCACCATGAGGAATCTTCTCAATAAGTCAACTTTTACCAGATTCACAAGGTGGTACTCTAAAATATGCCACGCAGTTTTGAAGCTGAGAGACAGTCTGAGTCTCGATAAAAACACCTTGGCTCCCCCTTTGGAGTGGATTGGTCCCTGGCAATTTGTCCCTGAAGTATCTTTCACATTGTGTAATAAAGTCATTTTACCACCTCTGCGTTATGCGAGGGAACCTGATAGTGTCACACGAAGACAGATGACTTCCTCTGTGGCCCATGGGCCTGCAGCAGTGACTTACACAGGCCTCTTGACTGTTTTTCTAACAGTTTCGGCAACTGTATGCACATTGTCATCCAATGTTCATACATACAATATGAACCCTCAGATGATGTGATAAATTAAATCATTTCTACCACAGATGAGAATAAAATAATAGCTGAAAGTCATAATTGATGGAGAGAAGTAGGACATTTTGAATCTTTAAAAAAAGCTGTTCATGGGATTTTTTTTATGGTTAAAACAATACACGTTATCTATGCCAGCATAGTGGTGTTAGAACAGTGGCCCCACAGCAAAAAGGTTGCAAGTTCACAATCTGGCTGGGGTCTTAGGCATTTGCATGCTCTCCTCATGCACGTTTGAGTTTGCTGGGTATCCTGGTTCCCTTCCACAATCCAAAAACATGCATGAGAGGTTAAATGATAACACTAAGTTGTCACTAGGTGAGAGAAAGTGAAGCTGTGAATGCTTGGTTGCCTATTTGTGTTCATTTAATGGACTGGTGACATGTCCAGGGTGAACTGTAACTTTTATCCGATGACCAGTAGAGATACATTTAGCAATCCTGCATGAAAAAATGGATGTATGGATTGATAAAATATTCTGAATTGTACACGTGTGTTTCTGACTTTGTCTTGAAGGAATTATTGTAACGTCTTCATACCATACTCATAAAGCTGAGTTTAGCTAATTACAGCTCAACGTTTTGACAGCAACCGAAAAAAAAATCAATCAGCTTTATATATCATGGTGTACACCTTTCCTTCGTCATTTTCACACTCTGCCTGTGTTGCCTCTCAAGGATCTATATGAGGCACACAGACAAGAGTCTTTAATTTTACGCCTGGGTAGACCGTACACGTTATTGCTCCACATTCTTTATGCTTATATTGAATTAGAGAGCAGGGGAATAACTGCGGTTTTTAAATGAACGTTGAGGGGCTCCGCCCTTTAAAGGAAGCCTTTTGATTCACTATAAATCTCTGCCAACAGGGCATCAACAAAAAATTCTGCTCCGTTATGATGCAATCTTTCAGTCTGTGGCAACATTACAAAGTCTTATACATGAAAAACTGTCATGAAAGCATATGGTAGAGTTTTAATTACATCCAGAGGACTGATGAATAATGGGGACGATGTGGGACAGCGATACAACCGCTGCCTCTCATAATAGAAAACACTATTGTTTGCCTGTGGGAAAATCTAAAGCATTTCTCGTGTGAAATCCACTTCTTGTCTTCAGAAAGCCACAGAGCCCCAGCAACAGAAAGAAAAAAAAGGAAACAAACCCCATCTATCTATTGTTTAGTCAGACTTTGGCTAGAGAGCCTCCTCAGCTTCTAACGAAAGCTGTTAATGTTTGCAGTTTCTGTCCTTCCCATTTCTAAGAGACAATATTAAACGTTAGACTTTAAAATAGTGGCAGGGTGGTAGCTGTTGTAAAGGGTTATATACCAGAGGCGACCATGCAATCTAGATGGATTCACTGAAAACTGAGCTCTCCGATAACATTGGTACGATCAATATTAAAGGGTTTGTGTGGTTAACAAAATCTCTGCAGCATTAAAAAAGCCATTTAAGAAAGTATTAGTGCTTCTTCCATTCTTATTGCCATTCAAATAGCATTAGATCAAACTGCAAGTTTTAATACCAAATCGAAGCATTCTAAAACCATTCTGTCAGGAATAATGGAGCATTTGCATCAGGATTATACAAGTAAAGTGAAGGAGGATATGCTGCTAAATGTGGAGAAATGAAGCTCATAGAGTTAGAAGAAAATCTTGAATGGATTAAAAATACTTTTTTTGCCCACTGCCAAAGGAGAATTTAGAATTATGTTGTTTTCGGCCATTCTGTTAGTAAAATATCTCATGGAGCACTGAGCACATTTTATTAAATGTAGAAAGTCATTGCTGAAAGTACATCTACAACTGATTAACTTTTAGAGTCAGTTCCATGCAAGACAGCTGCCATAGCAAAGCAATAAAAATATTTTAGTCAAAAACATACACATATTCTTTCAAGGAATGCTGGGCCTTAAACTGAGTTTGTTTTTGTTGAACTCATGCGGTCATTGGCATTTTTTTTTCATGTCTCAAAGCATGTCACTTTTAGATGTAGGTTAGTTTAATGCTTCAGTGCTAAAGACAAATTTTCTGAAGCTTACTTTTGTTTCTATATATGTACGACAAACATTTAAACAAATTCAAGTATCAGTTACACCAACTTACTGAGATTTATTTGCTCTGCAGTTTTGAGTAGGTGGAGGTAAAACTATTTTTTAGAAAGTTTTTTTCAAATCTCACTTTAGGCTATGGAGAAAACATGAGATGACAATACCCTTCTGAGGGTATCTTGTCAATAGACCCATAAGCTTTTTGTCTGGTAAAAAAAAAGAAAACACTTGTAAATCTAAGAGGTGAAGTCTTTGCCTCAGTTGGTGAATAAAAAAATCAGCCAAACTCAATTTGAAAATTTCTACTTTTCATCTCCAAAAAAGAAGTATTGCTTCCTGCTTTGAATGTGACCCCCTGGACTTGGATTCTTTCAATCTGAATATATTTCCAGAGGATGCATCTCTCGGATGACTTTAACAAAAGATTTATTTCATCCATTTGTTAATCTGCTAATATATTCCCCTGGAAAGTTGTTGATTTGTGCCCTCTGAAAGCTGAAAAGGGGAATTACAGTTTAATGATGAATTCCTTTTTTTTTTCAGGGTTAGCAGAAAGCAGCGAATTGCTGCTGATGTTTGTATGGCTTTTTCAGTAGCTGCCTCTTTGAACTTTTCTTTCCTCTCGCCAACTCGTTCAAATAAACGAGCCTTAATGAAAAATCCCATTCCTTGCCATGTCCCACTGCTTACGCAAACCTTGTCCTTTACAGCCTCTCTTCCGCAACCTAACCCATTTCTGTTCCACTTCTCTTGCCCCATTCTTTCCGCGCCGATGCCACTGTTGTTCCCCGGCTCGATGTGAATAATGTATACAGTCTTCTGAGACACACACGGCAGGCAAGCATGAACGGGCATAGTTTGGGGAGCTCATCCCTTAACTTATTTCTTTCTAGTTATCTTATTGCCCCTGGTGATTACACTGCAGGAAAGGGCTAACATGCATACATTTACACCATCTCATGTTTGGATGTTGACACATTGGAGCACATCCACGAGCAGTGTGTGTGTGTGTGAGGGGGATTCTTGTTTTTTTATTTCTGTAAAATAAAATAAAAATGTTCATGACCTTGTACATTAATTCATCCAATTGCTGCATGACATTGGCCAAGATCTCCACAGAGGTCTGGGCTCTGATGCCTGGTCCGGATGTTTATGCATGATGCACTAGTTTGTATGTGTGGCTGTGTATGTGTGTGTGTGCATGTACACATCTTGCTTGGCACTCAGATAAGTACTAACAGAAAAATTCAAGACCAAACATATTCATGCCATTTCCTGAGCTCTGCCATATTTTTCCCAGAAAACAGATCTGTGCATTATGTCGACCACAAGGCAAAACCTTAGAAATAGACAAGCTGAGATTGACCCACAAAATGTGGCTGCAAAGTTTATTTATTGAAGACTGTAGAGCCAGAGCTCTCCACAAAGTTATATATATATATATATATATATATATATAACAGTATATATACAGTATATATATATATTAAACAAACAATAAATTTAGTTAATTTATATAGTATCGATTCAAAAGAAAAGTCATCTTAAGGCATCATTCAAAAAATCTGAAAAAAAAAAAAAAGGTAAACCTTACCTACTGCAATGAAGGAGCTGGAAAACATGAGACTTTTTAAATTTGAAACAAAACTAACAATTTTCTCTCAACCCTGGCATTTGACAGTAAAAAAATATATAAACCAGTTATCATGGCACCAGAGAGCTGTTTTTTTTTTTCGTCCTCTTTTCAAACTGCCTGCAACAACAAAGATGGACCATTATAGTTTTTGATACCCTCACACTTAAGAGGTCATTATGTTGTGGTTCACACATGTAACACACGGACACATAAACACAAAACAAGCAATCATGAGCCAAAGTGGTTTGTGAACTGTCTGCTTCTTGCGTTCGAGTGGGTTGCAGCTATTCACACGATGGGGATGGGGCCATTATTCACATGGCACCCCACATTCACAACATATTATAGCTATCTGTCTCCATTGTGAGAAATGACAGGGACTTCAGTTCAGTGAGCTTGAATAACCCCACCTCCCCTCCTCTCTCTCTCTCTCTTGTCTCTTTTGCTGGGTCTCTCCCTCCTGGACACCCAGGTGCTACTGAGATGTGATTCTCTGAAGTTTATTTTACTCTGACAAAGGGAAAAGAAAACAGGTAAGAATATGCATGCCTGGAAGTGTGTGTGTGTGTGTGTGTGTGGACTTAAACATCCATCCATCCATCCATCCATCCATCCATCCATCCATCCATCCACCCATCCATTTGATCTTGATTTGATTGATTTATTTTATAAGGTGACAGTTTAGTTTAATGCCAATTTATAAAAGCCAGAATGAGCCCGAATGCTGTAGTCCCCTGGCCATGATGTTTAAAAAGTGATAAAATACAAAAACATAAATACAACACAAATGCACAATTAATAAGGACAAGAAAATCTATCATCCAATCATCCATGCAGCCACCCATTCATTGTTTGCCTACTTTTTCACGTGCAGTCACAGGGAACTGACAGGATCCACCCTTGACAAGTCGCCAGTCCATCACAGGGTTACATAACAACAAACAAGTCAGACAACTATTAACACTCTCTCTCACACTTAATGGACATGTAGAGTTGTTACCTAACCTAATATGTGTCTTTTTTTGGTCTGTGGGAGGAAACCAAAGAACCTGGGGAAAGCCACACATGTACGGGGAGAGCATGCAAATTCCACACTGAAAGGCCACAGGGGAACCTACAGCCCTGAGCTGTACTGTTCTGCCTAAAAATCTTTACTTTAAAACCTATTTACTCAGGTTTTTTGGTTAGAGTACATTCTTATTTACAGCATGCATATTCAAGCCTAAAGGGATCACTGTTACACACACACACACACACACACACACACACACACACACACACACACACACACACACACACACACACACACACACACACACACACACACACACACACACACACATCTGGTCTGCTGTGTGTTTTTGCAGACTCCACAGAATGCATTTTTTGTTGCCTTTTTAGAACCCAAATGCGACCCAGCTTGTTCCCCCGAGATCTCAGGGTTCCATCTGTGCCAGGAAGTGCTCTAATTGGCCCAACAAATGTGTCCTCTGAACGCGTTAATCCAGTTTGATTTGACCAAGCTTCAAAAAGAATATGGAACGGCCTGCAATAATCAGCAAGTGTAACGAGATGCGAAAGCGGAGAGGAGCAGAACCGGAAGCGTGCAGACGGGCGCGCGCACCGGTCGCTCCTCAGGTGCAAACAATGTTTGAATTAATTGCAATCAGCCTGCTGTTCGTTGAATTCATCAGCAGGAGTTTAAGCACGAACACAGACCTTCATCTGCCCATGAAGCCACTCACCACAACTTATTTACAGTGTATTTACAAGCTGAGCAGGACCTGTAAAATGTTGGATTTACGAGCTCCCCTTTAATTAGGAGTACTGACTCCTAGAGTTGGCTGATGAATTGCACATCCAATTTATTGACGATCGAGTAGGGTGGGAGAGCAGTTGTTTGATATTGACACACTTGGCAGAGGGCTGTGGTTGACATCCGTTTTTTTTTTTTTTCCTAAAAGGAGACTTATATTGCATCTTCGCTGTGTAAAAACCCACGGGTCGTGTTTTCATGTGCAATCCTTTTCTTTATTGATTGAATTGGCTGTGAATATTAAAGTTCTCTCTCTCCCTTTCTACTGCTGTGTGTGATTCTGCAAATTTATTTTTGCAGTTGGAGAGGTTTTATCAGTTTTAACGGTCAAGGATATTTCACTCAAGATGCTCACAACTTGGATAAACAAAACATAAAAATGTGTGAATCTCAAGGCTTGTTGGAGGTCTCTGCAAGAATGGATTATTGTTGATTTGGGTCTAATTTTTTTCTGTTTGTTGTGTCTGTTAACTTTATTTTGTATTAATTATCATCATGATTGTCGGCTGCTGTGACTGTGCATATGTACCTGTGTTTGTTTGACTGTCTATTGGCCAAATCTCTCTCGGACCTGTGGGAGGGTTTTAACAAAATCCTCRGAAAGCAATTAGTGGATGTATATTTATTTATTTATTTTTTTTCAAATTGCTGCAAGATGGCTGCTACACATATTCTAAGTAGTAATGTAGTCAATGAGATGTTTGTTTAAAACTTTTGTATTAAATGTTAGAGCCAACCCTCGTCTGTCAACAAAATAGCTTATGAACGACTAGATTTTAATGAAATTTTTAGAAAATAAAAATTTCACGTGATTAAATTTTGAAGTCCAAATCATGGTCACCAGAGCTAATCAAGTCTAACAAATCCAAACGTGACTGCAATTCACTCACATTTTAAAATTTTGGGCCAAATTTCCATGTAATAGACAAAAGTCATCCCCATCAAAGGCTTCAAGTTCTAATAAAAATGTAAATATACCAGGTAGTGGACTGTATGCATTTGGTTAAGGAATGCTAATTTAATTTATGAGTTATGTTCTTATGACATTTTATCTGATGATTCTGTGTCTATTTTAACCCTCCTGTTGCTTTCGGGTCAAAATGACCTGAACCAGAGTTTAAAAACAAGAAAAATAACCTAAATGAATTTGATGGCATGTCCTAGATTGACCCCAGCATTAGAAAAGGTAAAATGTTTGTTTAAAATGTTTTTATTTTCCATATAAGCAGTAAAAAAAGTTACAAATATTGTATTGAGGTGATTTTGACCCGACAGTCATTTTGCATTGAAATCACAATCACAAAGCCAGTTACACACCACAAAGATGTGAAAATGTTTTAGTTCTATCTAAGATTTATCAGAAGCAGATACAAACATGAAAAACGTGGTCTTCTCCAGCAGAGTGTTTTGCCTGTACACTGCCTAGATTTTGCAGCCAAGGGTGTGGCACTAAAGATGAGGGTGTCTAGAAATGTGGGAACATTTAGAATCTCATGATCGAAATATAACAATATTGCCACCTGGCCGGTATAAGTGCCTTTATAGAGGACAAAAAGAACAGGAAAGGAGTGCGAGAAAGTCCAGGTTCCCATGATTGAAATGAAACAATATTGCCACCTGGTCAGTAGGCTATGTGTGCCTTTTTGACTTCCTGCCGAGGGCAAAAATAATAGGAAAACAGCATAGGAAAGTATTCAAATGTAACAATATTGTCTGAGGCAGCTCAGAGCCTATAGACTCAAATCCTCTGTGCTGCAGACATGAGTGTGCGTTTCACTGCTGAACAGGTTCTATAATTTTTCCCAAATGACCAATAAGACAACTCTGATTTGGAAGAGGAGGAGGTTTCAGAAGAAGAATATGGGGAGGAACACAACCCACATATGCAAAAAAAAAAAAAAAAAAAAAAAAAAAAAAAAAAAAAAACCTTTGGGAATTGAAATCTGACCCTCCAGTCTCTTGTAGTTTAGATTTGAAATCTGAGACTGTTGC